AATACTATTATGATACTCCGCCACAGCCTTCTGGAGGAGCGCCATCGAGAGATTCTGCCACGCGACCGTGAGTGGGTGCCTGAGATCAGCGAGATAGTCGATTTCTCCGCCACCGTAGACCACCCTATTGAACTCCGCCCGAACCAGGTAATTGAGGGGGTTTGGGTCAGATGACCTGCTTGAATATTCCACCTTCCTCAGGTACTCAACGCCCCTCCATTCCAAGTAGGCGAGTGTTTCTCCAACGCCCTTCGATTTCATGTGGTGGCACTCAATGCTGTAGCAGTACAAAGTTTCCAAGAAGGTACGGGCGACGACATGTGGGGAGGATATTCTTCTCGAGTTGCTCGATGTAACCGCCAGCGCTCACCTTCAGTCCGTTGCCCGCGAAGAAAATATTGGTCTCTCCATTCCAGGTACGTCCGGTCCCTACCATCAACTGGCGCCTTGGCGACTGGGGTGAAGATGATGTCCTAGACCGTAGCGACGTTGTCGGAGCTGCTCGATGATGGAGGTCTTCCAGATCGAGAGTACTGGTCTCCAGGTAGCTATCCATGGGTGACTCCATACTAGAAGTTTCGCAGCTGTTTGGAGGTGACATGAGTTCCGAAGGTCTTCTCCAGTCAGGCTGCGACTGGAGATGACTTCATATTTTGGTGTACATGAAGGTGATGGGCGAGCGCCAGCTCCTGCTTATAGAGGAACATCTTGGGTATCTTCCGCCCTGGTACTCGTATCCACGTCTCTGTCTGGGCTGCGAAAACTTTGCTGATATGTGACTCGGTCGAAATGTCTTTTTTTTTTGGCCCCCCCCCCCCTGTAGATGTATATCTACGAGTACATTCGTTTTGTGAATACGGAACGAGGCTTGCGGCAGTACCTGCTATGGTCTAGTTAACCAATGCTCGATGCAAACGGTGTGTCTGACTTGATTTGAAAAACGTCTGATTTGATTTTCAAAGAGTCCGTTTTGGTTTGAAAAGCGTACTGTTTTTGAAATGTGTCCGATTTGAAGGAAATGGTATATGTCGTCCCGAAGCTCAGGGCTGTACGAACGGTCCTGGTGTGACCTTCTGGGGCATTCGCGGAATCGTGTTTCCTACCATCCGCTCGTCGTACCACTTCAATGATCAAACTTGTTTGTTTTATTTACTTTCGCTCTGAAACGATGGTTTTGAAACAGACCTTGATGATGGCGTATAATATTAAACAGATACAACAGATATAATGTTAATCGTCTCTCGACGCGAATCGCAAAATCACAGACTCGCAAATGCGAGCGCTGCCTAATGAGCCGTTTCAGACGGTATTTCGTCTGTTCGTCTGCTATGGAGGGAGTGTGTAATCTTTCCAGCTCATTCCAGGAGAACCTCAAGACTATGGGCTACCAACATGAAGAGCGGACTACAGAAACACCGGAAGGGCGCACATGCAATCCAATACCCGATCAAGAACGATTTCTTCCCATAGGTCAGTTAGGATCCTTGATTGTTACGTTCTTAACTTACCTGGCTATCAGTTCAGCAAGGATTGATGTATCGTTCATTGTCTTACGTTGTTCAATATTTAGCCAATGTTGCTCGTGTCATGAAGCGAATGATACCAAGTAGTGGGAAAATAGCGAAGGATGCTAAGGAATGTGTTCAAGAATGCGTTTCTGAATTCATATCGTTCATCACTAGTGAAGCTAATGATAAGTGTATGAGTGTAAGTTGAAATTTTCAACTAGCTGTGCATCTTTCCTTCTTACTGTATATTTCGTTCGTCATTATATGAAGTATTAGTCGGTGGTCTTTAAGGAGAAGAGGAAGACGATAAGTGCTGATGATCTTCTGGAAGCGATAAACAATATGGGCTTCGACAACTATGTGGCTCCCCTTCAACTGTTTCTGGAATAAAGCAACAATTCCCCTCAAATAATAAAAGTGAAGGAAAAAACTAGACGCTTCCTTTTCCCGTAACTGTAAGAGACTTAGCTATCGACATGGGGCGACCTTTGCTTTTCTGCGACCACTGTATGGGTTTTGAGATACAAAAAAGAAAGAAAAATTTTCAATAAATTCCATCGTGCTGGTCCGAACTGCTCAAAACTGCATAGCAGAAACATATATAAAAAAAAAAAAAAAAACGCTAAGGCCTATTCATATTCCCTAAATGACATTACCACCTTTCTTACTTTGGCTAAGCTGGTGCGGCGCTGCTTGCTGCCACCCGACGATGAAATAGGGTGTGATGACGTCATGAGGATAGGTCGAGATGAATAATCTCGACTAGCAGTCATGCTTGAAGACGTCCCTGCAAGTGCCAACGTGTTTTCTAGGAAAAAGCTTAACAACACGACTTTAGTATGAACTCCTAATATTCACAAGAAAAAGTCCACCACGTTTCATATGTACCATTGTGAATCCCTGTGGAACTCGAATTTGCACCAAAGGTCCTTGAAGTTGTAATTGAATTGTTGAACGCCGAACTCAACTTATGAGCAGCTCGATACCTAGGAGAAATTTTTCAGTCCGAGAAGAGTCCTCAAACTAGTTCATCAAGGAGCTCCACGTGGAGCCCTTTTTACTGGTTTTCAGCAATGTAGAGGCATAGACATGTGAGAGCATAGAGGCATAGACCACAGTGCGTTTCAGCTCAGTGAATTGACTTGCTGGGGAATGGTGTTCGTAATCTGCGCAAACGGTCTAAAATAAGCGTCGATAGCTATAATTACCGCGCACACAGTGGCAGTTAGAGTGCCTGTCAGAATCTCAAAGCATTATTCGCATCATCCAGCAACCGAATGGCGAAGTGGTTGGCAAGTTGCACTCTCAATAGCAAGGCAACAGTGCAGATACAGGAATCATTTCCCCATGCTCACAGATTTCTGCAGTTTCAAAATTTCCTTGCCTATTTGTTCTGATGGAAGTATTGGGTTGGCACATAAGTACTTTCGTTTTTTTTCAACCGGAAATTTCGTTCCAAAGATGAAATGTTTTGCTAGCAAGCTTGATATCATCTGATAGGAAACTTCACGTAGTTTTAGAATATCAAAACGGCTTTGATTGAGGGAATAATTTTTGTGGATTTTTTAGTCGTTGAAATTGAAAACGAAAACGGTGAAATATTTTAAGCACTGCGACAAACTGACCTCTATTTACGTATAGTCGAAGTGCTAAAATCGCTTAAGCTGCTCCATACATTTTGGAAAAAGTCGAGCTAGAAGTTCCAGCAAGGGAATCTCACTAGGACGCTTTGGAACTAAATTTCAAGAATTTTGAAGTCACCAAACGCTTTCACCTCGCGATATTGCAGCTCACGTCTGCTCTCACCTTGTTAATTTTATTTAAGTATTTGAATGTCGCTGATACGGTTTTGCACGTCCTGCATAGAATTCTCTCTATAACACTTTGCTATAGAAATCTGGTTCTCAGAGGTGTTGCTTTCTGCTAAGTTCAGGTTATCATTACAGAACGCGAAATCGTTGAGAACTAGGCGTTCCCGTTCTCCAAGAATTTTATGCTAACATTTGAATGTTTCGCTAATGTGTTCTATATGTTCTGATAGCCAATTTCGTGCTCTATAATACTGCACTTGCAGTTATTTTGAAAATCCGTTTGATGCCTTGTTTTTCAGGTGGATAATATGGAATGTCAGGTCGATAAGCATCAGCACTTCAGACATCTCCTCCTTTTCGCATTCAACAGAGGTATCAGTACCATTCTTGAAGCGTCTGAACCAATTTTGGGCTGCTTCGAGAGAGTAGAGCATCTTCTCCGTACACTTCGCGAATTTCCCGAGCAGCATCAGCAGCTCTGATACCTCTGTTGAATGCGAAAAGGAGGAGATGTCTGAAGTGCTGATGCTTATCGACCTGACATTCCATATTATCCACCTGAAAAACAAGGCATCAAACGGATTTTCAAAATAACTGCAACGCAGTGTTATAGAGCACGAAATTGGCTATCAGAACATATAGAACACATTAGCGAAACATTCAAATGTTAGCATAAAATTCGTGGAGAACGGGAACGCTAGTTCTCAACGATTTCGCGTTCCGTAATGATAACCTGAACTTAACAGAAAGCAAACACCTCTGGAGAACAGATTTCTATAGCAGTGTTATAGAGCACGAAATTTGCTATCAGAACATGCAAAACGTATCAGCGAAACATTCAAATATTA